TCTGATTTATCCTACTTAAAATTTTAACATTTAAAGATCGGCGATCAGGTGTTGCGTTCTTTTTGGGAGACGGTGTATTTGCTTTCAATAGTCCTAGTAACATATTTGAAAGAGCGTAACTCCAAAAGTTGGTCATATGCCAATTTTCTGATCCTAAACCGCGCTTTTCTTATCGATTTACCACCATATAGTAGTAAATGGAATACCCTCAATAGCATATGGACTAGACGATTTATGCAGGAAGTGAAGGAACTTTCAGAGGATACTGTGAAGGTGAAGTAATTTTGTTCCCAGTATAGGCGGAAGGGGTCTCCTGACAAGTCTCTACATGTCCTGGAGGTTCAGTGATTCTCCTATCTAGGAAATTACTGTGTCAAGTCTCTACATGTCCCAAGTGATGGTGGGAAAACTCCTGGCAAGTCTCTACATGCACTTGGAGCATCAGGACTCTTCCTGTTTCCCACCATTCGCGACCCGCCAATGTTTTGCTTGTTATTGCTAAGCTTTCTTGTTAACTACACAATTATATTAACAGCCGATGCCCGAAAAAATGAAGGGCTATTGGGAAAAAATTATCCTTGAACGAAAGGAGGTTAGTTAAGCTGATTTTCCTTTATTTGTTTTATAATAATATTACAATAATTATGCTAAACAGTGGTCAGTAAAACGTACACACCTCTCTGGTAGTCTTGATCTGCTAGATGATGCTGGGAAGCATAATATTCAGAAATTACGCTCTCAAGGGTTTAATGAAGAGAAAGTGAGATCACTAGAAGTACAACTTACTACATACATTCTGTGTGTGCTTTTACACAATGTTTTTTTTTATCCTTTAGGAAGGAGAATCTTCAACTAAAAGAGTTCGAGAAAGAAACCGGTGAATTATTATGAAAGCCAGACAGAAATGGATTCTTCTGGTTCAGAATATCAAGAAAGTCAAAATGGGTGAGCAATACTACGCATATTATGTTACTTTGATACTTAATGATTGACCTTTTCTGATTCAGCCTAAAAGGAAATCCACCGATATTGACGATGACAGGATTTCAGATGAACAAATGGCCCATTTCGATCGCATTTTCCGTGACCTAAACCCAGAAAAGATGTGGACCCTTAAATCTGGTCGTATTGTTGAGAAAATAATTTACGAATACGCAAGAACTTTGAAATACGAGTCCTATTTACACTCCTTCATAATCAGCGATATTGACGAAAAAGCAAAGTCATTATTTCGAAATGAAGAGTGGGAAGATATATTTTCCTCAAACTGCAAAAAAATGCCAAAAATCGACAAATCAGTTATTGAGCTTCTGAAAAATATTCAGTAACTGATCTACCTTCATTTAGAAAATCATTTTTGAGTCTTTTTTACCTACCGATGCTTTATACTTCAACAGGGAACACTTTGACTTAAATTATGTGAACCTTGTATATCGTATAAATAATCCCATCTTCTTGAGTAGAGAAGGAAGTATCGTGTGAAAATTCCTGATTATCTGAAATCTGGTCAGAGATTCTAACAGATTCTATGATTTTACGCCATTCCTCAGTAGATTCAGGAGGCCTCTTATCAATTATTTTTTGATATGTTGTTGATCCTATACGATGCTTTTTACACAATACGCCGAGCATCTGAAATATTATTCTGAGCATTTCTAATTTCTCCGATAGCTTCAGGTGACAAGCGTCGGGCATCTGATCTAAGAAATTTACGAGTATGGGTTGTTTGTTTTTTACTCATAGTTTGCTAGTAATAAATTTGTATGATACTAATAAAAAACTTGTAAAAAATTTATTTGTTATTGGTCTGGCATTGGTTTGTTACATATATGTAGTTCGCTTTCTTTACAGTGTAGCATGGTATAATCATGATTCAAATAAATATACATATGCTTTAAATATTATATTTGTTCGAAACTAGTTTGATTCTAAACTCCTTTTTTCCATTAATCGAAGAAAAAAAATTCCAAGAAAAAAATATCTTCAAGTAAATTATATGGCAAACGTACATACGCTGAATGAGTTAAATAATGGAGCACCCTTAGTATCTGGCAATAAACTTGGAGATTCGCCATTTAATCGATATCCATCTAGCCGAACTGAGCTTGAGAACCAAGTTACTTGTTTAAAACATGATCTAGATATTGCTTTAAGCTCAGGTATTCAGCTTGGCACTAGAACAGTCTCTTGATAAAAAACAAGGAGAGTTTTTCAGAGCGTGTATGCCAGTTTGAAGATGAGGCAAGAGAACTCAAAATGAGATTAATCAAAAAGAGATTAATCAAAAAGAGATTTCTCTTGCAAGTGCTAGGAGCGAGATTGCTACAAAATTGGAAGAGATACAAGCTCTCCAATCGGAAATAAAAGAGTTGGAAATGAAGTATTTTTAGCCCAGAAAGACTTATCAGAAATGGATTCCCTTAGACGAGAGTTGGCGCAGTCAAGGCAAAACGTTGAGCTAAAGAATGTTGACTTAGATCTGAAGGAAGATAAATTAAATGATAAAAAGGGTGAATTAATACGGTTGAGGGATGAATTGACCTCAACACGAATAGAATTGATGGATACAAAAGAAGAATTAATGCAGATGAGAGATAATTTGTCCTCAGTACAAAAGACATTATCAGAAAAAGAAATCCTCCTTCAAGAGACTAATACTCGTTTAGCCGTGCAGATCCAAAAAACATCTAGTGAGTCTGAAGTGCTTGGAGGTGTTAAAGGACTGGAGAACGGTAACAAAATCATTAGCCCCGAAACAACCTCAGTATTACCTTATTCCTTATTTTTTCAGCATGCAATCATCTTCGTAATAATTACTAATCATATACATCATATGGTGCGTATTCTCTCGTCTATATTCATCTTACAATGAAGAAAAAAATATTCCGAACTATAAAATACCCTTAAATAGAAATCAAGGTTATGCATTCCCAATTCGATACGCAAAAGAACCAAAAGACAGGACTACCTCCTATGAAACTTCGTCTTTTGGATATGGATGAAGTCACAAAGCATGAATCATTCCTAATTCAGCTATCTTTCAAAGGTTTGTCCCATCTAAATCTAATTGATAAGGGGTCATCAGATGGTCTTCGGATATCAATAACTACAAAGTGTTTTTTATTACCTCATAAATTTTTTTGCTAGAGGCTCATAATCATCATGTATATCTTTAAGAATTCGCTTTATACTACTAATGTTCCACATCCACGATGCAATGAAATATATTTAAGATTTGCACGCATATTTGGATGGATATCATAAAAACGTTGGGCTATATAAATTGAGCTAATTCCTTCATGTCTGCCTGATCTAAAGAAAGGAACAATTTTTAGCTGAGTTGCCAAAGGTTCTCCGGCAAGATCATCAAAGACTAACAGTAAATCGACCAGTTCTTTTGAAAGATGCAATATCAGTTCTTCAGGCGCGATCAGCTTGAATCTCACATTTTCATACCATGGAGCTTGCTTATCCATGGCTATAAATTCATAAAAACATTGTACTGCTTCCCATAATCCTTCATCTTGGTGTTGCGCGACAACAATTAGATCCCACACGGAATATACCTTTCACCAAAATTTTTGCACCCACCTTTTGGTATTTTATGACCACGCTTTTCACCAGACATCCATGGATAGATTTTTGGATATTTACTTCCTAGAAGCAGATGTACTACCATGCCGTCTTTCCAGACTCAGAAGTGCCCGCAACTCCTAATCTAAATGGAGGTTTAGGAGCGAATGGATTCTGTTTTTTCAAAGGTATAGTTTCATCTAATTTGTATAGTTCGTAATACTCCATAGTATTTTGAAAAGTAGGATAATTATTCAAGGAACATATTTTGTTAACCGCAAGGAAAAAAGCACCTCAGCTAATGAGTAGAATTTAACTTCATAATACTAACTTTTTCGTAATTATAAAAAAATTGGAATGGGAGAACCGGTTATTTATATCGATCCTCAAAAAGCACGAGAGCTAGAGCAAATCATAACAAAACAAACACCTACGATTAATATCGATCCCAAAAAGCTCATAATTTAGACCAGCATCTTGCTTTGCAAAAACTATATTATTGTCCTGATGGTCTGTATCAAAATGCTAAGGGATTATGGGATGCTTGTAAAAAAGCCGGCTACAGCTTTCCATTTATTGATGTAAAAAAAATGGCTTGAGGGCCAAGCAATGTATCAAATTTTTCGTCCTTCACCAAAGCATATACCTTATGCCAGTTACTCTAAAATCACGAAGCCAAATACTGTGCACCAATGTGATTTAATCGAAATACCATATGATGAAGATGTGAATACAAATTTACTAGATGATGGCCCAATATATTACTATGTACTATTGGTTATAGACTGCACGACTAGATATAAAGATTTCGTTTTTTTAATATCAAAGAGCAGTGAGGAAGTTGCAGAAGCATTTAAGAGTATATACAATAACCCCGATAAGCCTCTCAACTGGCCTCGAAAAATGCAATGTGATAAGGGTACTGAGTTTATGAGATACGTGACTTTTTTAATGAATGAACATGACGTGAAATCCGAAGAATTAAGGCACGTTTTAGGCATACAAGCTTGGCTATTGTTGATCGTTATGCTGGATTATTCGAGGTAAGAGTTTTTAAAAATCAGTATTCGGTAGAGTTTCTCCTACCTGCTGGTGAACGTTGTAGGGAATGTGAATGATTTGCAAGAAGAATTGTTGATAACATGAATGATACTCCTACTCGATTAATTGGAATGAGTCCCAATGATGCCACAAAGCTTGAGCGGATATATTCCAAACTATCGGTAAAATACAATCATCCAATAGGTGTTAATGAACCATAACTGGAGAAAGGTACTACCATCCGTTTTTTACTTGCCCCTGGAGAGTAGGAAAATGATCCTTTTGAGCGACATAGAATAACAGATCCTATATGGTCACCTAGCCTCCATAAAATTCAAAGAATTGTTGTTGGAAAGAATCCTTCGATACCGGTTTTATATTATTTAGATGATTCAGGACCTCAATGTTTCTTTATTAGAGAACAATTAATGCATATTAAGGAAAAGCCTATGTTACCCCCTAGATGAATATTGAAAGATAACCGAACACGTATAAGGTGCTTTTTATAAAAGTTCTAAGTCAACGATGCAATAGGGTATTGTAATAAGGATTACTAATTCTCTATAACATAACGATTTTTTTTTCCAATTACGTCGAATTTGTGCATCCAAATCTTTTTGACCTTGCGGGTGAAAAAAAGGTATGATCTGATAATGTTGACTATTGCTGAATTCAAAAGCTAAATTTAACTCTTCATTATACTCGTCAAGATGTAAACCTTCTAAAAATTTAGATTTACGAGGTGGAAATTTTTTATGTAATAAATCTTTGAAAATATATTGACATGTTCTTTCTGGTATACAAGGACAAATGTTACACCACCTATAATTTCATTTTATATCATCATAAGATTCTTTCCACTGATAATTATTTTTACATGACCATAAGTAAATATCCGGAATATATTCATGTTTAGTTAGACATTTACCTTCACATCTTTTGGCATAAATAAAGACATTAATATCAATCTTATTACAATCTTGCATTTTTTCTTCGCAGTCACAAAGTGGCTATAATATAATTTAAGTAATTTTTATGGCTTGATATAATAAACCATTAGTGGTTTTGTTAATTTAAAAATATAATAAACATAGATATATTTCTGGAGAGAATTCTAATTGTAACTGAGATTATCTATTTGAACTTGGATATTATTTATATATGAAAAAAATATTATTGTATAGTATCACTAATATTGGATCATTAGTGAAGTACTTAACCATATAATTCAATGATCTCGTTTATATCCGCTTCAAACGAATCATCTTTTTTATCATCCTGTAACTTTGATAATGTTCGATAGCATGTAATTTCTAGGCCAACTACTTTGTATCATGTGTTTCAAAAATCTTCTAGTAGCTTATACGGTTCCTTTGAGATCTACTCATTCCAATAATATGATATTAAATATTGTTCTAAGGACATTGCTCGCTTCTTAGTAACTAATTTATACATACTTTCTCTATATCCTATATCAACCTCAGAAATTTCTTTAAGTAATGATGAAAGTTTTAGGCAGATGGATTCTTCTTGCTTATCTAATGCATTGAGGAAGGATTGGAAATAAGCATTGTTAGTCAGGCATTCTCTCTTGTCAGCATAAGTAGTATCAAATAATTTTTTCGCATAAATGCGGGCTCCTTTCCATAGATGAAATATGACAGCTTCATCTTTTTTCAGGCCTTCATAAAGGTTTTTGATATAGCTTCTAACCCACTTTTCAGCTGATTTCTGTGCTAAGGAATCTCTTATTTTTGATACCTCGTCTTCATCCATTTCATCTTCATCCTCTTTGTCATTGTCCAGGTCATCTTCATCTATTTCACCATCATCCGCTTTATTATCACCTACTTTATTACCATCTTTTAGCTTTTTTAAGACCCCCAACACAATTTCAGATGATGGCTGGTGTCTTTCATCATAGTTAATAAATCGTGCACAGAGGCTGACAACAGTTTTCAGATAATAGCTGATATCGATCTTTTTACCTAATTGCCTCACTATCTCTGGATACTCTATTTTATCTCCGACCTTATCTGATGAATCATTCTCAACTACAATATACTCAAAACATTCACCCGGTTCTGGGATTTCATAAAGATAAGGCTCAGGTGTTAGGCCCTTTTTTATGTGCTGTTTGGCATCCGCTTCTTCACGGGTGTGTCTATCTCGCATTCGTGAAATAAAACGTTGGACACTCTTGTTATTTTTATTGGGCTTCCACACAGCAGTTTTAATCACTCCATTAAGATCTATCTGTGAAATATTATTTATGGTTCCTTTGAGCACGTCTTTTACAATCTGACGCAAGGTGCATGTATTATCCAGTCTCATAGATTCCTCCATGACCTTCTTATCCACCTCACGAAAGTGTTTAAACTGTCTCCGCTTTACAATCTCAATCCCTCGGATGAAAAGTTTTTTATTAAAATTCGGCTTACTTTCATGTGGGATGCCATAGTACTTTTTCTTTCCAGTAAATACTACTGGAAATAAGACTTCCTCATATGCCATTTTAAGATATGACGATCCATTATCTTTTCTAAGAAAGTCATTAACTTCGTCACGAAGTTTCCCCATCACGCCTATAGAGATGTTCACCATTCTAGACCAATATTCTTCTTTCGAGATCCCATTACCGTTGTCATAT